TTGCACAAATTTAGAGACATCTGCACTCCAAAGGTTGGACTGGTAGAGCCTTCTGAGTTCACATTGGTCTGATTGGCCACAGTCAGACACGTTGTACCTTGACCACAGCACAGTGATGCCATTTGGGTCCACTTTGAGAGTGAAGGACAACTACCAACCAAGTTGCTCACCCATCTACCAACCGACTGAGGTTGGCTTGGCACTTCATTAAGGGTTCTGGACAGAGGAAATCACAAGACCCTAGGGCTGCTAGGTGTACAAAAGTCAGCACATCAGAAATGGTAGGTATGATCCAAATTCTGATAACTACACCCTCTAATTGGTGTTAAGGAGAGTTCCATTGTGCCAACAGTGGCTAATAGGTTCAGGATGGTTAATGGGACAAAAAAAAAAAACCCAAACGAACAAAATAAGTGGTAGCACCACATAGGAAATGACATCTTCAGCATTTCTTAGCAGAGTGAATAGACTGCTGGACTTGGAGGCAGGAAGACCTGGGTTCAAATCCTGCTTTAGACACTTACTAGCTAGGTGACTGTGGCCAAGTCACCCAACTTCTCTGTACTCAGTTCCCTCATCTATAAATAGGGGGAGTGGTGGATTCAGTGACCTTTAAGGTCTATTTTAGCTCTAAGTCTATGATCCTGTAATCCAACGAAATAAGATAACTGAAAATTATTAGAGCACTGAAAGGTAGTAGAGCATGACTTACCTCCTGTTGCAGCTGCTCCATCCCATTCAGGGTTCCTCATCATCTCTATGTAATCATCATAGTTTACATTAAGGCAATAGTTTTCATGGACTTCAAGATTCTTATTAAAATAATATGCGTATCTCTCATATGGTGTACCAAGTGACTCAGCAGTCATTACTCGGCAGAAATAGTTAAGAGTGAAATTGGATTTTGTCAACTTTTGGTCAAAATTATAATTCGTTTGGTCCTAAGAAATAAATAACAACAACAAAAAGAAAAGGAGTAACTAAACTATAATCTAAACAGCAGATTGGAATATTACTTTTATTGCCTGAAATGACCACCCACACTGCAAATCAATCAGCCAACCAACGAGCATTTATTAAGTAGTTACTCTGTATCCGCACTAAGCTCTGGTAGTCAAAAGAAGACAGAAAAACAGTGCCTGACCTCCAGGAGCTTATGTTCGAATTAGAGAAAGAATATATAGATAAGTCAATACATAGAAAATAGATGGAAGGTATCCTCATAAGGGAAAGCACTACTAGCAGCCTGCTGACCCTGAGAAAGGCCTCTTGCAGGCCTTGACCCTTGATCTGAGTCTTACAGTCAGAGATTTTACAAGGCAAAGGTTAAAGCAGAAGAGCAACAACTAAAACCTATGAGAAATCTATACATGAAGTCAGTTCAGTGAAGAGATGAAGTCAGCTCTCAAATTCTTGTCACCTGGCCTTGAAGCCAATGTTTGGATCAGTTGTTTTTATCTGTGAAAAACTAAAATAATATCTATTCCCCTCTTTCAATTCAGTAATTCGACCAACATTTTAGTATATATGAAGCTGGAATGCTGTGTGGACCTGAGGTAGGAAAAGTCCATCTGCTTTAGTAATAGAATGGGATTTGCCTGGCATTTTAGCACTGAATTGGGTGTGTATTTGTTAGAGAAAGGTCCCTAGGCAATCAAACATTTATTGAGCATTACTTTGTTCAGAATTATACTTTTCACTTCTGTAGAAGATTGTGAGGCAAATATTGGGAGAAGAGGGAAGGGCTTGGGTTAATCAAGGAGAAGGAAAGTGTGTAGGTGGTTAGTAGAGGTTTGGACTTGTGAAAAAGGCTGGGGTTTGAATTGGGGAGAAGTTTGGAAGAAATTGGGGAAAAATTTGAAGGACCAGATTCTTCTTTATGATGGTTTTTGTGAGACATAATTGAAGGTTGAAAGAGGAGCTGGTTCCATAAAGATCAATGAGAATCAAGGATTAGAGGAAAAGATTCCAAGAAGAAAAGCATGAAAGGTTATGAAATCTCGGGCAAGAAAATGAAGATTATAGGAGCACAGTTTGTGTTTTACTCACTGCTGTTGCTCATTGAAGGCAAGGGATAGAGAAGAGAACAATAGACTTAGGGAATTAATAGTAGGCTGAGAAGATGGTGTCTGAGAAGGAGATTCTAGACCATGGTAGAAAATAGGAGGATAACAACTAAGGCTATCAAGGCTGAAATTGCGTGTTGTGTAGCAAATCTAACCGAAATGGTTTTTAAAACAATCTAGGAGTGTCCATTGATGAGGAGGGGGCTTGGAACTTTACGTACACACACATACATATATGTAACTTTTTTTCAATATAATTGGTTCCATTTGTAATCCTATATATTTTATTAGGTGCATTTACAAACCTTATTCTGAGAAGGAGTCCATTGGTTTTACCCTACTGCCAAAGGGTCTATGACTCAAAAATGGTTCAGAACCCTTATTTTATAATCCTAAACTGTTTTAGCAGTAAATGTGGCTGTTTCTTATACATTTGACATTAAGATGCTCTGTTTCTTGAGGAAACTTTGCCTTATTTTACAGTTCAGTTTGGGACTCAAGCAAGATTTTATAACAGGGAGTAACATGTTTTACCTTAGCCATAGTTTCACCCTAATCTCTTGAGGCATGAAAGCATGAGGAAAGGAGGAACAACTTGGGATGAATGTTCCTGGTATGCTACTTACATGCATAGCTTGCCCACTGAGGTCCCACTAAAGGTCAAGTCTCTGAGCTGCAGTAGCAAATAGCCTTGATCTCATTCTCCTAGGCAGTTTGCCACCCTGACTTGGTGGGAGAATATGAAGTAAAGTCAGCCTATGGGTCAGGATGACTTTATAGAACATATCAGCTCTTATGGTTGTTCAATCTGCCTTATAATTTCCTTTTTTTTTTTTTTACCACCCAAAGACAAGGTTTATTAGAACATCTGCCATATTGGCCAGACTCTTTTAAGGAATCTAAACATTTGTATTGCCAATGCAAGTGGGCTAGATTTTAAGAATCTGAGCCTGCCTTATAATTTCTCAGGAAATCTGATCTTCCCATTCTCTTCAAGGGCTGATATTTTTTCCAGTTGTACCAAGGTTTTTAAATGAAAATTTCTTCTTTGATTTTTTTTTTTCATTTTAAAACCTTTGGATGGTCTGTGACAAAGTGGTTCAGCCTGATAAATGTGGTAGACTCCTTTCATTCAGATAGTCATTAAAAAGTGCTTAAATCCCAGAGAAATTTTAAGTTTTTAAAATTAACCTCCACTTACAATTAGCCCTCAGAAGACTCAAATTGAATTATTTTCCATTATCTATATATAATTGCTCTTATAAAAGTTGCTTAGGAAGAGAAATCACTGGTAGTAAATTTTTTAGTAAGGGGAAAAGGAGTATATTTAAATTCAGGTCAATTTTTCATTCTAAAACAACCACTCTAAAGCATTCAAAAACATTTTTGGCAAGCTTCTGAAGACAAGTATTCCAGGGAGATAAATTATACTTTGATAGACTGTGAATCCTCTGTGTCTTATTTGGCAATAATTCTCTCTCTCTCTCTCTCTCTCTCTCTCTCTCTCTCTCTCTCTCTCTCTCTCTCTCTCTCTCTCTCTCTCCCCTAAAAGATGGGTTACAAAAACAAATAAGATTTGATTGTAGGATGTAGAATGTTAGCAAACATGCCTGCATCCCTGAGTCTGGACCATTCAGTTCTGTTCAAATAGTGGTTTTCAGGATTGGAAACATTTATTATTTTAATTTTAAAAGGAAACACCCCAAGCCCCTGTGTATTTGCGCGTTTGATTCCATTCTCTCCTTCCATTTGTAACACTTAGTTATTTACCTACTTGGTATCGCATTCTCTTCTCACTTATCTGATTCAAAGGTCTCTCTTTACTGTATTGAGCAAGACCAACAATGTTGTCCATCAAAAGATCCAGGAAATAGGACATTTTCTCTTCTGAGTCAAAATTGGCATAACATAATCTGTGGGAAAGGAAGCAGATAAATACTATACTAAATTTTGGGAAACCACGTTAGATTACAGTCTTATTAGGGATAACACTGGATGGAAAATAACTACTAAATAACTTTAAAATATTTATATTACTATAAAAATGTTACTTTGAAGCCATTCAATTACATTAGAATCATAGATGTTCAAAGCCTGGATGGGATCTTAGAGTCCAAAGCGTTTCACAAATGAGAAAACTGAGGCCCAGAGAAAGATTTTCAAAGTGAGGCATAGTGGAAATTACTGTTTGAATCCTAGCCATGCTGGCTAGTACTTATGTGACCTTGGGAAAGTCAATTAATCTCTCTGGGCCTAAGTTTCCCCTTATGTAACATAAAAGGCTTGGACTAGATTAAAATACTTTCTGGCTGCAAATCTATGATAACTATAAAGACATGGCAACTCATTCTTGAATCTTAGTTTCAGGGAAAAGATTTTAAGCATGTTATTTCATATTTATAAGTGGTCACCAACATTAAAGAATGAGAAAAAGAAATTGAACTAGCCAGACTGGCATGGAGCCTGTCAATTCTCATGAAACCTAAGGAATAAAAATTTGGCAATGCTTTTTCTAAACTGATTATTTTTATAGACATTTATACACAGAGTGTTAAAGCCATGTTGAAAATGGAGATCATTTCTCAAAATGCCATACATAGTTGTCACCACTTACCACTATTTCTCTTAGGGTCTCTGGCATTGTCAGAAATTTTATTTACTCCTCAAGTTTTCCTTACTTTCAGGATTCCCAAAGAATTGTAGCTTCTCATTTGCTTCCTGCTTTTAAGATTCCTGAAATAGCACTGATGTCAATTCTCAACCTTCCACTAAGGTTTTGTGGTTCTTTAATTGTTCTTCCTTTTTCATTGTTCTTGCTGTCATTTGGGATTTCTTGTCACTGCACTGAACTGGAGTTTTACATTCTATTTTATTGCAATGTATATATGACTATAGTCAGTCAGTCAATAAACACCTAACCTCCTTGTCTTACAGATAAGAAAAAAAAACCCACACACATATTGAAGCCCAGAAGTTACATGAATTGTCCAAGACCATAAAAGTAAGTATGGTGCTAGAGACAGGATTCAAATCCAGGTTCTCTGACTCCAAATCCAATCCTCCTCCTTACTAGAAACTGTAATAGACGGAGAAGCATGTCAGACCCTATAGGATAGGGTGAAGCTGACCCAGGAATTTGACAGTTTTACACTGATTAAACCAGTGTCTGATATTGGTAACACTGGTGTGTCATTCTCAGAGTACTGACACAGAAAACTTCCTTGAAAATTGTGAACTGGGTGAATCCTTCAGGCACCAGGATTTCAAATTCAAGGGGATGGTACCCCCTAGTGGTCAATTTGCTAACATTCTCAGAAACTAACTGGGGAGCCAAGGGCCAAAGCAGGTGCAGAGTTTGTGCATCCACAGCTGAGCCAGGATTGGAGGCTCCCTCTTCCTATTCAGGCAACCAACACCAAACCAATAAGCATTTATTAAGTACCTGCTACTTAGAAAGCACTGCGGTAGGTAGGGCAAGGAGAACAAATATGGAAAAACTCCGTGCTGTCAGGGGACCTTATGTTTTATTAAGAGATAGAGTATGTAAAAAGAGATCAGTAACATCTGGGGGGGTGAAGAAAGGCTTCCTGGAGGAACTAGTACATGAAAAGGAAGTCAGGAATGCTAAGAGGTAGGCAGGGGAGAGGGCAGTGTCATAGAGTAGCACTGGAGACCTCGGTTTGAATCCTAGCTCTACATCTTTGTTACCTGTATGAAGTTGGGCCCCAGAGAATGAGGGGGAAGAAGGGGATGGTTTGGGAAACATGGTATAATGGTAAGAGCATTGATTTGGGGTCAAGGGGACCTGGGTTCAAAACCCATCTCTGATGCTTACTATATAAGTTCGCTTAGCTTCTCTGGGCCTCAGTTTGTAAAATTAGGAGGTTGGACCTGATGTCCCTTCTGTCTCTAAATCTATGATGCTTTGAATGCATCTCTGGCATTAGGAGCAGCCAGTACAAAGCGTTCAAGTAGCTGGGAGCTAGAATGAGGGGTCACTTTAGCTGAAAGGGAGGCTGCTCTGAATGCCCAGACAAAATTCTGGGAGAACTCTTTCCCCCAAAATCTGACCTGCTGTGAAACATATTTTAATCTTCCCCTCTCAGATGCATAGTCTTTGCTACTTGTGGGCAGCTGTCTGAGTGAGTTCCATGAAGGATCCTCCCTCTGTTATGTTACAATAACAAACAAAGCAAACCAAGACAAAAACAAAAAACCACTCAGCACATCTGCCCCAAGCTCTTTGTCCATCAGTGCTCATGTGTATGGAGTGTATTTACATACACACTGGTCTGATCCTCCAACTACCCTGTGAAGTAGGTGCTGTTATTATCTCCCTTTCACCAATAAAGAAACAAAGGCTTTATTAATTTCAGTGATTTGCCCTCGGTCACTCAACAAGTGTGTTTCCAAAAAGGACATCAGATTCTGGGCTTCCTGACTCCCAGCTTATTTCTTTTCCTACTTCCTCATCTTTCCCTATAAATCTCTCTCTAACCACTTGCCCCTCAAGGCTCTTCCTTCCAGATCAGAGACTCTTCTGATCTCAAGTAAAGCTCTATAGGCATGGATTCTTTTTTTTTTTTTGTGAGCCAACTGGGGTTAAGTGACTTGCCCAGAGTCACACAGCTAGTGAGTGTTATGTGTCTGAGGCTGGAATTGAACTCAAGTCCTCTTGACTTCAGGGCAGAAACTATATCCACTGTGCCACCTAGCTGCCCCTATAGTCATGGTTTTTGAAAACTCTTTGGCTTCACTAAACCACTGGGAGTACCAACTAGAGAGATCTGACAACTGTTTGAGGGCTGGTATCATCCTATCATTACATTACTGATTTGATGCCTTAACGTCCACTGTTACTGCGGGGAAGGGCAATGAGTTCTGGTTCAAAAATTGGTATTTGTCTTCATATTCCTTTTATTATATTATATTAGTTGCATTTCTCTGTGAGCCTCTTTTATGTTTTATCCTCCTCACTCAGCATGGTCAACAGCTAAAGCTATCCTTTCTGCCTCTCTTCTTTACCCCCAGGCAAAGGAATTTAGGAGTCCTAGAGCTTCTGCCTGCTTTCTCAATATCTGGTAAGGCCTATTATATGCCTCAATAAGGTAAAAATAGATATGTGACCTGAATATTAAAGATCATACCATAAAAAAGGAAAATTGGAAAAGATCCAAAATCAGATGCCTTTCACGGTACAGCTTGGGGGAGTGTGCTTAACCAAACAAAGCATAGAGGCGATCACAAAGGGTAAAACAAGGATAACATGAATATGAGAGAAAAAAGATATCAAATATATCATATGAGTTCTGTCATGCCGTAACAAACTGTGTCACTTACCTAAAGTCTATTGACATGTTATAGCGGTGTTCTTCATGTTTAAGCTTATACATCAGAACCTGGGAAGCACTTCGCACAGCGTCTATACACTCAGAACCACCATATCTAAACAAGGCATTTTGGACGACTTCCAGGCATTCTAGGGTATGGAAAAATTGACTGCATTAATCCACATGCTGAACATTATCCTTTTTATGTCTCTCTTTAACATAGAGAAATTAAAGAATTGAGAACAAAACCAAAAAGGAGTGCCAGGAAGTTAATGGAGCAGGAAACTCAAATCCAGATTTGGGGAATTTTAAATGACTTGAGGAAACATGACTAGTTTGATATCACTGGGTCTTTACAGATGTATTTTGCAAAGGGTTCATTAAATTTGCTTCAGAATAATAGTAATAGTAATTGTAGGAAGGATAATTGCTAGGTGATTCTGAATTTTTAAAAAATTGCCTACTAAAAATAAAAATTGTTAGGGAGATTTTCTAATTTCCAATGGAAGTATGGAAATCACGAATTTTTTTTCCTGCTAAAAATTAACAACCTAGATTTTACTATCATTTTAACCCAATATAAATTTATCCAATTGATTCAGATGACTATCTACATTGGTCTAAAATTTAAGTCTTTAGTTCCCAGAGGAACCTCACAAACCATTTCAGTCCCCTCCCATGGGACTCTACCACCTACAGATGGTTCTGAGTTTATTAATGACTTTCTATGAACTCACCAGAAAAATTAGCCATTGCATAGATAGGTGCACTGTAGGCTACTGCTGAATGAAACATTCTAGGATGTTTCACCCTCAACCAGGCAGCCAGGGAGCCTGAGTAAGAACTACCGAAAACAACCCATTTGTTTCTAAAGAGCTTTAATTTCTTTATAAGAAATTTCCGGAAGTAAACAGCATCTTTCAAGGCTTGCCTGCTGCTGAGGAAGTGAAGATTGTCTATAGAAATATCCCTGCAAATGAAAGTACAAACAAGGGAAACTGTTAAAACAATTAAAGCACACTAAAATGATGTTTGATATCAGCTCAATTAGACACTGAAAAAAATTTTTTAATTGTGGTAATGCTCAGTTATCATTCTGTTAAACCTTGAAATGATCATATGAAATTGCAGAGAAAAAAAAATCTTATGGGAAATGATGCATAAACACAAGAACCAGACAGCAGGAAGGATCTTATTGCAGCAACATTCTGTTTGAAGAATGAAGTATTACTGATAAAAACTAAAGAAAGTATTCGAAAGGAAAATGAAGAATGTGAGAAGGCAGCAGTCCATCAGTCACTCGATATTGATCCACAAGCAACTATTAAGTTTCTGCTACATGCCAGGCACCAGGCATATGGGAAAAAACAAAAATCCTGAATCTCAAGGAGCTCACACTCTCTGGGAGTGGAGAGTGGGTGGGAAGTCCTGTGTGCCATGTGTAATAACACACGTAATTAAATTCAAAATAGATACGTGGTCAATATTAGGTAGTTGTTTTTTGAGGGGGGAAGAGGGTGGATTCTCCTACGCTCAGAATCAAGGATCACAAAAGGCCTCGTGTAGGAGCTTAAGCTGAGTTTTGGAGGAAACAAGGGATTCTAAGAGGTGGAGGTGAGGAGGGGCTACATTCAGGGCATGGCCCTGAAAAGGCAGTAGATACAGCCAGGTAGGGATGGGGACAGAAGGTGAGTGTCATGGTTGAAGAATGGGACAGAGACTAGTTGGGCTGGACTGTGGAGGGTGGGACAGGAAGAAATTGGTAACAAGTGCTGGCTGCACTTTCTTGCACAGGGCTTTTGGGAGGATCAAATGAGTTAACATACTGCCCACTTAAAGTGCTATAAAAATGCTAGCTATAGTTGTGGTGGTAGTTTTAAAACTACTCCACTTCCTTGAATAAAAGCCTAATCTTCAAATTACTTACAGAGCACCATATTCCTAGCATCAAATACAATCCAACATATCTATGGAGGGAAGATAGAACTAGTGAAAGGTATTGGAAGGCACCTCATTAGTACCCTGGGTTGCCTCTACCCCTGTGTCTGGAGGACTGGAGGGCAGAGCAAAAAACTCCTTCCTAAGTTTTCCTTAATAGTATGCTCAGAATTAGTACAAACTCTTCATTTCCCACCAGCTGCTCTGCTTTGTTTATGACTTCACCATTATCCTGCTCATCCCAACGCCTAAGTAGATACTCTCTAGTGCTTTCCACTTTTTAAATGTCCTTTTGTGTATTGTCTTCCCTCCATTAGATTGGCACTCTGATTGAGGATGGGGACTGTCTTTTTTCTTTTTGTATCCCCAGCACTTAGCACAGTATCTGGCACATAGCAGGTACTTAATAACTTCATTTCTCTTTTCTGTGAATTTAAATTGTCAAATATCAAGGTAGCTTAAATTTCAGTGTGTGTTTAGCTGCAATAATTATGTAAGAAAACAAGTTGAGAAGAGGAAGGCAGAGAAGCAGTGATAGGAGCAGCAATAGTAATGGCAACTTACTTGGTCGGTTGGCTTTTACCATAATATCTATGCTCCAGCAAAACATATAAGGCTCCCATTCTTTCTGCATATCTAAACAAGGAAATTTCAGTGGTCCACGCACTATCAGTAGATTGTTCTCCTCCAAGCTCTAAGAAAACTGGGCCCCCTCGTCTATAGTACTTATCATAGACAAAAAACCTCTGTAGAGAGAGACAAGTGAATTTAAGATTATCAGTATTTGGTCAAGTTGAAAGATTATTTTATTTCACTCCAATCACACAGTGATAGATAGCATCTTTCTGCCCTGTAGACTTGTAGATCAGGATCAGTAGTACTGAAGTCTACTTAAACCTGTGGCAATGATCTGGTACTAATAATTGCACCTCTAGGGTCAAGGATGACAGTTGAACAAAACTTCCTAACCAGAGATGTTACCTTATGAGCAAAATCAGTATAACTTTTAAATTCTTACTGAATATAATTTAAAAAATAGCAAAATGAAGTATATTTTTAAGAGACATTTATCCCATTATTAGCAACTCTGAAATTCTCACTTTCTCATCACTTTAATACATACCTATTATCTTCACAGGAGATGAACAGCTTTTTACCTTAGCCTGGGAAATACACGTGTAAATAGGTGAGTAAATCCAAAGTAATTTGAGAAGGGAAAATGCTAGGTGATGTGGTGGAAACTAAACTTTGACAAAAGTTACAGATTCTAAGAAATGGAGGTGAGGAGAGAATGCCTTCTAGGCAGAGAAGACAGCCTATATTAAGAGCAGAGAAGAATCAGAGTTTGAATGCCAAGTTCAGGGAATAGAAAAGAGGCCAGTTATTAGACTTTCAAGCTCCTACTGGGTGTATATCAAGTTCAGGGCTTTTGATTTGCAAATGTCTATGTTTAGTCACCGACAATCACAACATTTTGATCAACAGATTTTTTGGCACTGACCCATACAACAGCAACAAAGTCATTTAAGGATGATGATGATGATGATGATGATGATGATAGTAACTCACATTTATATGGCACTTTAAAGTTTACAAAACTCCCCAAAGAGGGTGTCATTATCTCCTTTTAGCCCCTGGGTAGATAGATAGCTTATCTATGAATGAGTGACTGAAGGACACGGAGGAAAATTGTATAGGAAAAGGCATGAGCATGTTGCTACTTGTGCCTATGGAGAGAGTGCCAGTGAGATCATAGATCCGTCACAGTATTGACAGATGAGGAAACTGAGGCTCAGAGACTACTAGAAAATAGTTGAGGAGGATCCCATTCCAGTGTTCTTTCCACTAAAGCATGCCGACCTTAGCACATGCTAAAAATGGTATAGTCAATGATCCTGCCTCCCTGGAATGACCAGCTCAGTACAATAGTTTAAGTCACTACATCTATCTAAACAACAAGAAATTTCATTTAATAGCTAGCATTTATATAGTGTTTTAAGGCTTTCAAAGCATTTTACATATGTTATCTCATTAAATCCTCACAACAACCTTGGAAAGTATTTTCTATCATTATCCCTATTTTACAGATGAGGAAACTGAGTCTGAGAAACAGTAAGAAACTTGCCCAGAGTCACACAGCTAGTTAAAAAATATCTGAGGTAGGATTTTTCAATCTTTCAACCTAGATCTTCCTGATTCCAAGGTCAAATCTAGTCACTGTGCCACCTAGCAGCCTAAAAATTCATTCAAGGAACATTTATTGTCCATGACATATAAGCTTAATAGCTTACATGTCCTATCAAGTCAATAAGAATTTATTAAATACCTACTGTAAACCAGGTACTGTGCCAAGCACTGGAAAGGCAAAGAAAGGCAAAACAGTCCCTGCCCACAAGGAGCTCACAGTCTAATAAGAGAGACAACCTGCAAACAAAGTAAGTATGTGGGTTATTAGAGATAATCCCAGAATCACTGGGCCTCTGGGCTCTTCATCTGTAAAAACAGAGATGGATTAGATGACCTCTAAGCTCTCTTCCCTCCCTAAATCTACAATCCTGTGGTCTTTAGAATGAAAGTGAATGTGAAAGTTATACCCTGAGATCTTTTTCCAGTAACAATAGCAGAAGTTTGTTTTTCTTTCAGAAGGATCCCACACCCCACTCCAGCCCCAAGACCTTGAGTATTATCATTTCTGCTTTCCAAGAATACTTTTGTGCTAGAAGGTTGACTACAATAGGAAATGAAAATCAGTCCTAATATGTGGAGGGTAATATTAATGTCTTGAACATGAGGAAACTTTAGATACTGTTATCTGGGAATCTCCCTGGCCTGCAAATCAAAAAATCAGTCACGAAAACTAATGTGATATAATGCTGTATGAGCAGAGACTCAGCATCCAGAACAAGGGATAGGTCTGCTGTGCTCTGCTGCCCTTATCAGACCCCATCTAGCCTACTCTGCTCAGCTTTCAGACATGCTCATTTTAGGAAGGGGCTAGACAAGTTGGAGCAGTCCAAGAGGGACATTGAAATAGACAGAGGACTGGAGACCAATGTCAACCTAGGCTTGGTTAAAGGAACTGGGGGTGTTTAGCCTAAAGAAGACTTAAGAGGGTTGCAATCAAATAACAAATCTTATTAAACATCTTTTATGTTCCAGACACTGTACTAGGTGCTCAGAATACAAAGACAAAAGTAAAACGTTGCTTGCCCTCAAGGGGCTTACATTCCTTCAAGAGATTTGTGTGTGTGTGTGTGTGTGTGTGTGTGTGTGTGTATACAAAATAAAGCCAAAATGCATGCCAAGTAGTTTTGGGAGGGGAGAAGAATAGAAACTGATCAGGAAATGCTTCTGGTAGAAGGCAGAACTTGAATTGAGTTTGCAAGAAATTTGAAGAGCTATCATGTGAAAGAAGGATGAATCAGAGAGGCAACTGGGTGGTGCAGTGGACAGAGCACGAATACCTGAGTTCAAATCTTGCCTCAGCAATGTGACCCTGGGCAAGTCACCTAACTTCAGTTTCCTCAACTGTAAAAGATGTTACTGATAATATTGTAAAGTTAAAACGAAATGGTGTTTATAAAGTGCTTAGCCCATTGCCTGGCACATAGTGTGTCCTTAATAAATGCTTATTTCCTTTTTTACTTCTGACTTATTCTGGTCCTTGAGGAAAGCCTTGGTTCATTTCTGTATGTTTCCTTATCACCCGGCACATAAGAGGAGCTCAATTTTCATAGAATTGGAACAAATTGTAATTTTCTTTACTCAGAAGATACATGTAGGAGCAATTGTTGGAAATTACGGTAAAGAAAAGTTTGGCTGCATATTAGGAAAAACTTCCTAACCAGCAGAACTACCCATAGGTGGTGTCTACGAAAGAAGGCTGGGTAGCCACTTGGCACATAGGTCAGGGAGAAGTGTTCTGGACAGATATGGGTTGAGCTAGATTCTTTTTAACTTGGGATCTGTGAATTTATTTTCAAAAAATATTTTGATAATTGCATCTCAATGTAATTGGCTTTCTTTGTAATCATCTGTGTTTTATTTTATGCATATAAAAACATTATGGGGTGGTCGTGGTGCGTGACACTCAAAAGATTAATTATCTTTAGATTAGATTACTTCTGAAACTTCCATCTCAGATCCTGGGATTCCTAAGGAAACCCATGCAGATTTTTCCCTCCTCTTTCTGGGTCTATGAAGCATTTCAGTGGAAGGCAGCTCACTATTCACTATCTATTGGGAGGTCAAACCACTTCCCTCCCATACTAGCTGGTTGCCAGATCAGTTACCATTTTAAGCTGATTTCCAGGGAAAAGACAATCTCACAAAAGATTAGAGGATTGAGAATTGTAAGATGTCTTGGAATCCATCTTATCCAATACCTCATTTTTCAGATAAGGAGAGCTGGCATGCTTTGCTTAAGGTCCCCTTAGACAACAAAATATCTAAGCAATTAATACATTGTGGTGTATCTTTCAACTGTCCATTTTTATAGTGAATGTCCACTAATATATATACACACACATATACATGTACATATACATATGTATGTATATATATGTGTGTGTATATATATGTATATACACACACAATGTGTATGTGTTGTGTGTGTGTGTGTGTGTGTGTGTGTGGGTGTAGCTAGGCCTCAGGCAAGCTACTGCACTTCTTTCCTCACTATCAGTAGATATTTTAGCAATATGTTTGGGTGTGTATGTGTGTGTGTGTGTGTATATATATATATATATATATATATATATATATACACACACACACACACAGAGAGAAATATACATATAGATACATGTATTTGTGTATCTATATATAATGTACATATATGTATCTATCTATATGTATATCTATCTCTCAATCATTTATCTATCTATCTATCTATCTATCTATCTATCTATCTATCTATCTATCTATCTATCTGTCTCTGTCTCTTTATATGTGTGTGGGTCCTCTACTGTAGATACAGAATACCAGCAAATGGCTCTAAGGATTAAAACTCTCAAGGGTAAAGCTGAACTGTTTTCCCAGAATACAGCTACCAAAGTGGTTTTTCTAAGGTTTGTCCCTTCCCCCCAATTCACATACACACCTCCTCTCTTATTTTACACATAAGCCAACAAACTCAGAGAAATTAATTGAATTGTCTTAGGTCTAAATGGATGTTACATGTCAGACTACAAATATTACTTTTTCCCATTTGCCCATATGCACAAATGATATGATGATAGCTGACATTTGTATGTATTCAGAGCCTTACCTCAAGAAACAATGTATCCTGGTAGATAGGGTGTTGGACTGGAATCAGGAAGCCTTGGGTATGAAGGCTGCCTGTGATACTTATTGTATAACAAATGGGGTGAGACGCTTAATCTCTCCAAACTTCAGTTTCCTTATCAGTCTAAATAGGAATAGCAATACTAGTCATCCCTACTTCACAGGTTATCAGGCAACTCATGTATGTAAAGGGCTTTCAGGGTCACAAAGAACCATACAAATGTCAATTATTTTGTACATATTCATTTGGCCTCCACAACAAGCTTAAGAAATAAGTAAAGCAAGTATTTCCCTCCATTTTACAAATGGAGGAGGGATGGAGATGTTTATTTCATTATATTTCCTAAAACTTTTGTTTGGAATCCCCACATCTCCAACATTGCAAATATTCCATCTTAAAACCTAAAGGGGAGAGGACCTTTGGTCCCTGTGCTTAGCACAGTGCCTGGCACATAGTAAACTTTTTCACACATAGTAACCACTTAATAAATGTTGATTGATTGTTCCTTTCCAGCTCTAAATCTGTTGCTCCTATCGCTGACCACAATTTATACTACACAAAAGAGAAATACACAGTAGAAGATTTAAAATGGGGAGTTGTCTAATGCACACAGGAAGGGGATTCTCTCCCTCTCTCTAGATCTTTGTCTGTCTGTTTGTCTATCTCCTACTCTCCCTCCCGCCAGTGAATCAGGAAAACCTGGGTTCCCGTTCCACATTTGACACATACTGTATGATCTGTATGATTCCAGGAAAGTTACTTGCTCCACAACCTATCTTCAGATTGCCTACCTGTCCGGGTTCATCATGCATTATGGCTTTTGATGTTTTCAGCAGCCTTAGCAAACTAGCCTTCTCCATCTTATGTCTCTTCTTCCTGCCTTTCTCAGGCTATCACCA